CTTCCCTCCTTCTCCTAACTGAGAAGCAGCAAGACACCGGTAATTCTCAGATAGACTACAACAGTATACTGGCTAAAAAAAGATACGTGGACTTGATCTTGTTTAGATAAGAAGCCCACTGGGAAATAAATTGTTCTAGTGTATCCCAAAATCTCATGACGGTTATTAATTTACTGAGAGTGAGTCCAATGGCTATGAATGTGAGGGGCTACTTGGCATAAGGAATTATTTGCAGACATAACAGTGGATTAACTGATATATCTTTCAATGCCTACTGAAGAAAAATGTGGGGCAATTTGTGCCTTGCTTGGTCTTTCTCCTTCATATTTTGAAAAAAGCTTGACTGAGTAAAGGTTAAACAGCACACCACATATATCAGTCCATTATTTTTTAGAAAATGTGGGTAGCCACAGTCTGAGGCACTTTGGAGCAAGGAATATATCTAAGCCTGTAGAAATCTGTGAAAAACATGTTGGACAAATCTGTGAAACCCCCTCGAGGTCACTTCTAGGTGGCAGTTGGATTTTCTCACCTCAATCTCAAACTCTTAACCAAATAATAATAAAAAACCTTAGCAGATGTCTATAAGGCTGCCTTGCTGGGATTACAGTCAGTGAAGCAAAAATAGCCATTTGGGATTCATTTCTGTGCAGTAAATAAATCTGAATGCACACAGCTATATCACAGCCTTTAACCCCACCTATGAGTGCTATATTTATCATAACACACTTCCGCATTTCTAATACATTTTTTCATGTTGGCAATCTTCCTGTACTTCAAAAAGCTTTCTATATAAGCACCATGAAATCATTTCATTTATAAATGGATCTCTATGCCATTCCAAAATGAATCTTTGTTAACTTACAGGTCATATCGATAAGCACCATTCAAGAAAAGATGCGTCACTGCATAAAATGTGTTAAAAAAAAGGAATTATGGAAAACATAAACTTTGGTGACATAGACAGTACAGGCACTCTCCTACTTCATAAACAATCAAAGCAATTAAAGAGAAATACTGTCCTTGAGCAG